TTTCCTTTGTGGAAGCAATGGCAAGACGCATCCAAACCATCGCAGCTGTGACTTTTCAATCTGTACACCAAGGTTTCCTTTGATACCTCTACCCCAGAATACGTCGAGATGCGTGAGCTCTGCGATTCGCCGCAGAAAGCCTATTTCACAGTTTTCGCCCGGGATCGAAATTATTATCTACTCACAGCCCACGACTCTTGACCACAGGTGAACATGGGAATTAAAACCGACTTGAAGGCATACAGCTTAATATTCTGACTTAACTCTGTATTAGTTACAACGGTTCGGACTAATTCAGGCAGAGCATCTCGTGGATCCCAGTTCGCTCGCCGAACTTTTCCTCCCACTTTCCTTCATCAGCAAACAAGACCCCGAGGAATACGAACTTATCTATCTGTTCCACTGCTTTTTCGTTTACTTGAGGAAGAAGAACGAAAAAGAAACTGGCTTTTCGTCTTAGATACGTTCACATGCATGCCGGTCACGACCTACTCGGTTGCGAACCTTTCCAGAGATCCATTTCACAACATACCATCAAAACAGGGTAGTCTGCAAACGGCTAACTTCTCGCCTCCAGAACTGCTGCTCCGATACCTCTTCGCCTCGGCTGCCCAGACTACCAGGGCAGAACAGCAGAAGGGGTAGAACGTACCCTCGGCGGAGTCGAGCACAAACGCTGAAAGACCTCCGTTTCACAACATTAATTTGGACGCAGCACCTGCTATGAAGGTACAGTGATTGGATGGATCGTAACAACTGGTCATCGGTCCCAGATGTTCGCAGGTACGTTCATAGCATATTGTGCGTTATCTGGTCATAGGCTTTTTCCAGGCCAACATATAACATGTAAATCGGATAAGCGAACTCCCACAGTTTCTCAACAATCCGGCGTAAGCCGAAGAAATGCTCAGAGATAGTTCGGTTTGATCCAATACCACACAACTCTACTTATTTCTTTGAGTCAATTATTCAGCGGCACTTCCTTTTAACACAATTGCGCAGGCTTTTCCCGGGAGGCTCAATAAGGTCAGCCGCAATAATGGGCGACTCTCTGTGGTCTCTTTTCTTGATCATAATTCTTGCTCTCAAGTCCACTGTTGTCCACCCACAACCATTACAGTTTGACACACACCTATTAGAGACAATATCCCTTGTTCGCTCAAAGGCTAAAGCATTTGAGACGATTTCAACGATTTAACCGACACTGACATCCATTAGGCTTTTCACACCTTCTGCGACTATAACTACCAAAAAATAGTATAAATTTTGTGCCGCTCTTCAGAAGATTTCATCTGAGGTCGCTCAAGGTAAAGGAGTTCCTCATAGTCTTCCACGTATATATTAAAACTTGATAAAAAAATCGTCCGCACTTGTTTTGGACCCTCAAATTGCTTCTTTTTATATCGGAGACGGCGGATGGTCTGCACCAACACGTTGCTTACCGTCTGTAAATTCGACTCCAGCACATCGCTGAACTTTTTCCTGGAATCGTCTTATGCTTTGGTTACTGCTTTCGTGGCCACCTTGCGCGCTTCTTCGTACTGCATTAGAAATGAAGATTTAGCTTTCAAATCACCTCTTGAATAAGGCCTTCTTCTCTCTGACAGATAGCTGAACTTATCTGACCCCGATGCAGCAGGCTAACCCGTTTAAAACCATAGCATTCGACGGTAGTCTGGAGTAAGTCGCTCTTAACGAGCTTCCATCTGATTTCATGTCAGCCGTCATCACTGAAATATGCTCAAACTGTCGGTGGATGTTGTTTGCAATTTTCGCTGTCGTATCACCAAAAACGTTGCTTCCCATTTGATTCTCCGG